ATATCTGGTGTTAATTCCAGAAAGTAAAAGGCCGTGGATATTTGTCTTAAAACCTATTTACCGTATAGTAGTGTTATATAACTTTAAGGTTTGTTTGTTTGTAATTAAGTACAAAGCTACACAATGGGCTATCTGTGCTCTGCCCACCACGGGTATTGAAACCCAGTTTCTAGCGTTGTAAGTCCGCAGACATACCGCTGTGCTACTGTGGGGGCATCACCTTAAGGATTATTTTAGCACCATGCTTTCATCCCTCTCCCCCAATGGCTCAGTGGTAAATCTTAGGACTTATCAAGACAAAAATCAGTTTTCGATACCAGTGATGGGCACAACAAAAATAGCCTATTCTCCAGCTTTGCGCTTAACAACAAACAAGCCATGCCTTAATTTGTTACAGAAACTCACCTTATCACCCTTCCTCCCTGGTTGTCCTACTGCTCCAGTGTCCCCTTTAACACCAGGCAAACCCTTTAGAATAAGAATTTAAAAATTATACGATTTAATAACAACAAGATTTATAGGAGAAAAAGTAGTTCTAAATTTTTGACATACTTCGGAATGTTTTCTATAATGTTCATAAAGTATTAAAACTACAAGGATGTGACATTTACCATTATAAAACTAACCACTCTCATTATTCGACTGCACCTTATACAAGGTTTAAGAAATCATAAGAAAGATGAATAACTTATTTGTTAGAAATACTTTCAGATAATTAGCACTCATAAATACAAAAAGACCTCTACCTATTATTACCTATATATAAATGTTAATGTTCTATCTCAAAGTTTGTAAATAAGCCAGCCTTGAAACGTATTATCATTAGTATATTCAGTATCAATGGGGAAAGGTTAAAGCAGGTCTTACCTCTTAACCTAGTATACAGACTCATATACCGTACTGCCCCTAATTAACGCCCCCGAGGGTGTTGCAAACTGCAAAAGGGGGGCGCTAATTAGAGACTAATTAGGTCATATGATAATACTTCTATTATAAACAAATATATCTATAATAATTGGTAGTAAACATAACCTATTTATTTCTAACTTTGCTATAAACATCAGTGCTCACTATTGCAGTAAATATAGTAATCATTGTTTATAAGTGTCAAAAAAAATCCTGTAAAGCGGTCCTGCCATGTACCAGGTAACCTCCTTTGATCGGCACCGCCAAAGCGTCTTTGAAGTTTGCTGCTACGTCAAAAAAAAAAAAAAAAGGCGGGAAAATCGTGCCCGACGTGACATTTATCAGTTACCACTATTGATTACTGATCACTGCAACATATTATCCTGAACCTCTATGAACACTTATGTAAATGAGAACTTACCAAATCGGAGTTTGTAAAACACTTTGTTGTTTTACGCAAAAGAGTTTTTTATCATTTTCTTAAATCCCTCTACCTTTATTAATATTAGAGTCAATAAATATTTATGTTTGAAAATACTGTATCTATGTATAAAAGCGTGCTGAATTCAAAATATTATCAAAAAGACTAAAGTCAGGTGCATTTTGTCTCAAATATCCGTTAATATTTTATAATATGCAGCTATAATATGGCCTTATTTAGCATGGAACATACGATTAATCCTGGCAATCCATTTTGACCATCTCTTCCAGGTGCACCAGGAAACCCACGAGGTCCAGGAATGGTATATGAAGAAACATTACAAGTACATGGTAGTCCAGGCAATCCAGGTGGTCCTGGAGGTCCAGGTGATCCTTCTAATTTTTTTCCAAAAACCTGTTAAAAAGAAAAAGCGTACCCTAAATGCACTGACCATACACATCTCCTTGAAACTACATTGATTTGTATATACGTAATAGTCTGATCCTGTGGTGATGTATAGTCTGATCCTGTGGTGTGCCAGGGGATTACTTAACTTTTATAGATTTAAAGATATATCCATACCCTGGTTAACATTTAAAAAAATGGGTAAGATAATTTATTTGACTGGCTATTCAACTATGAGTATTCAAAAAGTACACATTTGCCACTACGAAAACTGCTCACCAACTGCGAGTGTCTGAAAGAAAAGTCGACTGAAACAAGCTTGTTAATCGCAACAGACGTTAGAATGTGGTCCGATTTCTTCAACTGTGGTTAGAAATAGGCTATTCTTCAACTAAACCTCGAGAAGAAAATTATAAATAATATCATTTGGAAGATGAAAAATATTCCAAAAAATGCTTATATCTCGTGAAACAAGAAGGAATGACTTCAGATGTACTTTGTGTGCAAACTGCCAGTAGTAAATGACTGGAATCATCTGATGTGTCCTAGTCTAATTAAATCCTTTTCTATACTGAGTAGTAGAGTAAAATGTGTGGAATTACATCCTTTTTATACGAATGTTAGAGTAAATAATCAAATTCCATCATTTTGTATGCTGAGTAAAATATGTTGAATTGCTTCATTTCCCACAATGTAAAAAGAATAAAATATGAAAAAATACATAAGAAGCATTTAACCATTTTTTAATTTTGAATTGACAGCGCAAGCTGTTGGAAGTGGAGTACTGATGTGGAGAATAGCTTTACGGTAGGGGATTCGACAACTTGATTCTAATGTGCCCAAACGTTGTTGGCAGTTGTTGCCACTCTAAATTTTAACCCTGATAGACAGGAGCTCTCCAAAGCAATAATTCAACAATCCACTAAGTTTGCATTGTCCAAAATAGATTCACTGAGCAAAAAAAGTGACTTCAATCGTCTTCCTAGAGTAGCACAATCACCGAATCTTAAGCCGATTGAATATTTTACACAAAACTGTTTTAACAGAAGTGAACAGTTTGCCTTCGTCTAAACATTTTGCCCTTATAAAACTATATTATCTCCAAGAAAGTTATATAAATACAATGGGAAAGCCAATTTGTAGGGATAATTTTTCTTTAGTGTATAATTAAGAGTTCTTTAATATCACGTATTCGTTCATTAGTGGAGCTGTTTAAAATCATACAGTTACTTATGGAGGAAATATAATCACAGTTTTGGCTTTAATAACAGTCGCCATAGGACTGATTCAATCACTTTGTATTATATATTTATGGCAAAACTACTAAAACTATCGGCTGCTATTCCTAATTTTAAACTACTGAACAGGAGGAAAACAGCCTGTCTGCAGCATCTTATCGCTCACCAGCCAGGCTAAGGATTGACTGTCACTCTTATAACGCACCCACACATTATAATGGGGAAAATTATTATACAGTAGTCAACCCAATTGCCCTTTATTTAGCTTTGTGTGGAAATCCTGAAATATACACATTTTCTAGTTATCTGTTTGTTATTTATTGGATATTAGTGCAAATATATTCAACGACTATCTGCACTATCTATCTGTAATTTTGAACTGACAGACTAGAGGAAAGGCAGCTAGTCAACAGCACCCACTGCCAATTCTTGAGATGTTCTTGTCTGGCGGAATAGTGGGATTTGAGTGTCATGCTTATAACGCACCCATGGCCACAAAGTAAGGAGTGCACCCCCCGTAACAAAACTGATGGACTTACAGATCCATAGTCTGGCGCGCTAACCACTTCATATCAGTGGTTTACCCCAGTTCTCAAGCATAAAACAACATATACATCTTTGTGTACCAAAGTGATTTAAGGGTTCTCGGATTGGCCTTGTGGTAGAACTATGGATTTTGGAGCTGGCGAAATGGGTATGAATCCATGAGATTCCACTCGTTTCCAGACGGATATACTGTTGCCTGGTTCACGTGAGCAGTTTCTGCTACTGACGTTTTTGTTCCTGAATTTTTACTCTTTAGAAGACGCTGTACTTTACTTAGCACGGCAAAAGAACGACTTATTCTTTACTTAGCACGGCTAAAGAACGACTTCTTGCGAATTTCGTACTGGATCTTTAAGTTTTTTTGCGTCGGAAATGGCGTTTAAATACCTTTCGATAGCATCACACTACCTAAGAAACTCCAAACAATGTCAAAATGTAGTTATAATACAGTCTGTTCCACCGCGACCTTATATTCACTGTGTTTGTCACGATACTCCTGATTCGCATGTTCAAAATGACTTTGAGTGTGTGGGTTTACCAAAATAAGGCTTCCAGTCATACGTTTCGTTCAACCATCACACACCTCAATCAGCTGAAGAATGAAATGAGTATTCATGCTATTCTACATGAAGACATCGGTAAAGCCGCCGGAGCAGCTCCTATGGATTTCTTCGAAATATGACTGTTAAAACTGGAACTGAAAAATAGTCGTCCTTTTATACTAGATGGAATATGGAAAGCGGATCAGGAATAGGAATGTGCTTTGGACACAACAAATTGACTACGGAGCCTTTTCCAATGCAGACTACTCTGCATGACCGGAAATGACGACATGGACTGTAGGATTACGATGGGGCTCCAATCTCTTTAATATAACTTACCCAACTTCTGTATATCTTTGCATAGTCATCCCTAATTTTGAACTGATAGGAAGAGTCTCTGACGTTGCCTTAAGTCCAGGTCACTCAAAGAAATAAAAGTGAGACATTTATTAGAAAGTTCTCTTGCACATGGGCTAAGGTTCACTTAAATAAATACAATTCCGTCGCTGAATTAAAAAAATCTCTAACTCCTCAATTTCAGACCACTAAAACTGATAAGCACTATAGACATGGAGTAAAAATAGGGATTTTTAGCTTGAGAAAATAATGTAGACACTATTTCCAACCTTTGTTTATTTATTTACTCTACATCTAGAGTTCCTAGATGTAGGCTTGAAAATATAAACTTTGCATTTTGATTCAACTCGTTTCTGTACTTTTTTGACGATCCCTATTCCTCTTTTTTAAATTAAGATTTTTTAATTATCTTGTATGTGTTGTAATTACATGTTTCATGTAAAGCAAGTATAAAAAACTTACAAAACCATCCTGTTCTCCTGATCCCAAGTCAATGGGACTCCAACCACCAGATCCACTACCAAATATGTGTGTAAAAGGTGGTTCACTTGGTCCTGGTGGCCCTGGTGGGCCAGTCAAACACTCGCCCTATAAATAGTGTAATATTCATTATAATCGAGGTATTTCATAGCCTATTTAGAAATGCTAATATAAAGCTAATAACTGGTTTTGTTCTACTGTAATATTAAATAAGACGAAAATGTAATTCATACTTACACAAGAAAATATCATATATGCTCATAAACATATAATATTTTAATATAAATTGCTAATCGTTTCTGACATTTTTTTTGTTGAGAACCAAAATGATATTAAAGGTCGTTTATGTATCGTGAAACATGTATTTAATGTATAAATAATAACAAAAACGGCAGAAGTTTTAAACGGTTTGTTTGTCTCTTTGTTATGAATTTCGCGCAAAGCTACACGAGGGCTATCTGCGCTAGCCATACCTAATTTAGCAGACTAGAGGGAAGGCAACTAGTCATCACCACCCACCGCAAACTCTTGGGCTACTCTTTTACCAACGAATAGTGGGATTGACCGTCACTTTTAACGCCCCCACGGCTGAACGGGCGAGCATGTTTGGTGTGACGGGGATTCGAACCCGCGACCAGCAGATTGCAAGTCGAGCGCCCTAACCACCTGGCCATGCCGGGCGCCAATGAGGAACAGCTATGTATAAAATTTTGCAAAAATGATACTACAACAACAACAACAAATACTCTGAACATGAATTATTCAATTATACTTACTCAGACTTTCAAGACCTCATTTTAAACGGACAAGACTATAGGGAGGGTACAAGTCAACACCACCCACCATCGCCAACTCTTGACCTACTCTTGTCTGGCCGAAT